GCAACCACATGGTGGCTCACAACCATCTGTAATGGGGTCTGGTGCCCCCTTCTGGCCTGCAGGCATAAAAACACAGAATATTGTATACATAATAAATAAATAAATATTTTTTTTTTTAAAAAAAAAGATCCTTCCCGAAAGCCTTGCGAGACTCCAGTCTCCACAGGGGAGCCGGCCCAAAGCAGATCATGTCACCTTTGCTCTCTGCTGTCTTAACCTGCCTCCATTTCTTCTCTGTCACTTTGATTTGCCCCTCTTTCCTGTCAGACCTGGTGACAAATCTCACCTTGTCCCGGCCATCTTCCGTCTCTCCCAGGTTGGCAGTAGCCTGAATTGTATCTGAAACATCCTGTCCAATGAGGATGGGGGAGAAAGGACCAAGCCATTCTTCAGGAGTGTTTCTGACAGCTTGTTTTCCATTCTGCGCATGGAAATGCCTTCTGGGTCCTGAAATACTGGGTGTGAGTGCTTTCTCGCTTCTCGGTTCAGGCAGTGCCCTGGGCTTCCCTGATGCTTCTCGCAGAGCGCTTGTGTTCTGGCGGGTGTTCCCCAATCCGGCTGTGTCTGATCCATGCCCACAGCAATCCAGGCTGGAGTCCAGTGACCTCTTCAGTTGTGGCGGGCACTATACAGGTGCTGTCTAGGGGCTGCAGTAGTTGACACTGGTACTCATTTTCTCAGCTCATTTCCCACCAGAGAAATGCCCCGGCCTCCATGTTCCAGGCGCTCACATTTCAGACTCAGTGTGACGCTGCCTGCAGGATCTGTGGGTTCCACAGAAGCACAGTTTCACGTGGGTGGTTTCTTGAGTGGACAGCCTTCCCACACTGGCACACACTGTGCCTTCTGTTGGCCTCTTGACCCCTATAAGGTCAAGTGAAAAGACAAAGCTCATAGACAAAGAGTCGCCGATCTCCACCTGCAGCCTGTTCCTCCCTCAAGCCTCTCTTCCCAGGTATTCTAGCCTCCCGCACCCCACTCTCGCTGCAGGGTGACAGCTTGAACCCATTTCTCATCTCACTCTTTGCTTCCATCCCACCCAGCAGCAGGCTAGGACCTCAGACTCGGCATCATGTCTTCCCACTTTGGGAGGGAGGTTAGCAGCTTAGAGAGAGGTAGACACGCACTCAAGCTGTGGCTCTTCCAGCTTTGTTTGCCGCCAGCTGGGCATCAGCGAGGAACAGCTGTGTGACCCAGAGACATGGCCTTGCTCTCTTGGAGGAGGAGATACTTATCATTTTTATGAAGGAATTTGATGATAAGCCCTGGGGTACTGAGCGCAGGCAATTGTCCTCCATCAGCTGCCATGGGGGCGTGAATGATGCCAGTTTGTGGGTGATGCTGATTTGCTACAGATTGGCTTGAGACCTCCTCCTCCTCTTCCTCCTCTTCCCTCTTCCTGTCTTCTCTCTCTCTCTCTCTCTCTCTCTTGATTGCTGGGAATTGAACTCATGATGTTATACATACGAGGTGAGCATACTCCCATTGAACTACAACACCCCTTCCCTTTTTTATTTCTTTTCTTTAATCCTGACATGTAAAGTACAGTTTTGCCATTACAAGAGTTACGCTGTTGCCGGGTGTGATGGCAGTGCCTGGAGTGAGAGATGGAGGCAGGAGGATCAGGAGTTCAAGGCCATTCTCTGCTGCATATTCAAGGCCAACCTGGATAATAGGAGACCTTGTATCACCTCAAATAAATCAGTCAGTGAGTTACGTTGCTAAAACACGGCGGCATCTGAAACAATGCAATCAGGGTTTGTGCAGGAATGTCACTGTTGTCACTGGCTAGCACTGATAACAGGAGCCACAGGTGCTAAGTTTTATGGGACAGTCATGTGTCCAAGGTGCTATGTAGTCCTCCCAGTGGCCTTTGTGATGCTTGTCCTCCAGATGAAGACGCTGAGGTGCAGGGAGATGAATTTCCTCATCCAAGATCACACAGCTGGAAGTTAGGGCTCACTTCTGCTTTTAGAGCGGGCACTTTAACCAGCACACTGCAGCCCTGCATCCTTTTTGCAGACCTGCAGGGGCTCGTGCTGCAAAGGATGCTTGTTTAGATGTCCCCGACTCCTGTTTCCTTCTAGTCTTTCAGGACAAGAAATGTACATCTGGAAATAATGCTGCTGTTTTCCTATTAGTAGCTAGGACACTGGAAGGGAAGAAGGGTATGGAAAATCATTTGTATGTATCTTTGTGTGGTGTATGCATGTGTGTGCATGTGTGTGTGCATGTGTGTGTGCATGTGTGTATGTATATGCACACAGAGGTGGACATGCCTGTTTTTTGGAGACAGGTTCATGCACTGGCCCCGAAGCCCACTGTTTTCTCTAGACTGCATGACCAGTGAGTTCCAGGGATCCTCCTGTCCCCACCCTCCTCAATGCTGGAGTTACAGACATGTAACCATGTCTGGCCTTTTATGTAGACGGTGATATCTGAATTCAGGGCCCCATGCTTCTGCAGTGAGCACTTCCCAGTGCTGTCTCCTAGCCTCTAGGAACCAGTTTTGTGAGTCCAGAGAGGAGCGGCCAATCCTGCTTACCATGAGCCATCCATGCCCCAAAGAGAAAGGCGTGCCATGGAGGCGAGGGTTCCCAGAGAGAAAGGCGTGCCATGGAGGTGAGGGTTCCCAGAGAGAAAGGTGTGGCGTGGAGGCGAGAGCTCCCAGAGAGAAAGGTGTGGTGTGTGGTGTGGAGGCGAGGGCTCCCAGAGAGAAAGGTGTGGTGTGTGGTGTGGAGGCGAGGGCTCCCAGAGAGAAAGGTGTGGTGTGGAGGCGAGGGCTCCCAGAGAGAAAGGTGTGGCGTGGAGGCGAGGGCTCCCAGAGAGAAAGGTGTGGTGTGGAGGCGAGGGCTCCCAGAGAGAAAGGGCTTTGGTTTTGGCAGAAGCAGCATCAGTGAACACAGACTCGAGTCTGCTGAATACAAAGTCCCAATCCAGAGTGACCTTTTGACCTGTGGAAATGGGCTGGACAGACAGAAGGTTCACTAAGTAGGGGCATTTGTTTCTCTTGCAGAGACCCAAGTTTGATTTCAAGCCCCCACATGGCAGCTCACAACCTTTTATACCTCAAGTTCTGGGGGATTTGACTTCTGGCCCCCACAGACATAATCTTTTCTACCTCCAGTTCTGGGGATTTGACTTCTGGCCCTCACAGACATAATCTTTTGTACCTCCAGTTCTGGGGGATTTGACTTCTGGCCCCCACAGACATAATCTTTTGTACCTCCAGTTCTGGGGATTTGACTTCTGGCCCCCACAGACATAATCTTTTGTACCTCCAGTTCTGGGGATTTGACTTCTGGCCCCCACAGACATAATCTTTTGTACCTCCAGTTCTGGGGATTTGACTTCTGGCCCCCACAGACATAATCTTTTGTACCTCCAGTTCTGGGGATTTGACTTCTGGCCCCCACAGACATAATCTTTTGTACCTCCAGTTCTGGGGATTTGACTTCTGGCCCCCACAGACATAATCTTTTGTACCTCCAGTTCTGGGATTTGACTTCTGGCCTCCACAGACATAATCTTTTGTACCTCCAGTTCTGGGGATTTGACTTCTGGCCCCCACAGACATAATCTTTTGTACCTCCAGTTCTGGGATTTGACTTCTGGCCCCCACAGACATAATCTTTTGTACCTCCAGTTCTGGGATTTGACTTCTGGTCCCCACAGACATAATCTTTTGTACCTCCAGTTCTGGGGATTTGACTTCTGGTCCCCACAGACATAATCTTTTGTACCTCCAGTTCTGGGGATTTGACTTCTGGCCCCCACAAGCACTGCACACCTGTGGCACACAGACATTCATTCAAGGAAAATAAAAATAAATAAACTCTTAAAAGAAAAGTGGAGACTGAGGGCAAGCGACGGCATGGCCACCATTCAGACGAGGCTGTCCGTCTCTTGAGTATAACGGTCTTCCACGCTCCTGTTGGAATGTCCATCAGCAATAGTATGAGTGTGAACTTAACAGCTTATCTCCCTTAAAGTGACTTGTTCATGCCCCAGGTTCCTTGTCTTTGGTCCCAATTGGCCCCTGGTCCACTGGGCTACTATAAGAAGCAGCTCATTTGGAGGTAAAAGGAAAAAAAAAAAGACAACTGTTTCTCCTTAGAGAATTGTGTTCTGTGCTTTGGGTCAGCGTGGCTGCTGATGGCATCCCTAACCTAGACATCAGTGGCTGTCTGGCATCTCCAACCTAACACTCTTGTCTTATGTCCATATTTCCAGAGACTGAGGCCTAGGAAGGGAAGTATTAGCATTTCAGAATTTTAGTTCCAGAGGTAAAAAGGCGCATGCTTGCAAGAATCTCACAGACCAGAATCAGCTGGGTAAAACGAGCTCCCTGGCCTGGCAGAAACTACTTTTAAACAGAGCCTGGTGGCTTCAGCACTTAGGAGGTTAAGGCAGGAGGATCACCATGAGTTCCAGGTAAGCCTGGGCTACAGTGTAAGACGAGAGAGCCCTTTGGGGCTGGAGATCAAGTTCAGTTGGTAGAATGATTGTCTGCACGCACAACGTAAGCTGCGGGTGGTGGCATTTGTATGTAATCTCACACTCCCTTAGTGTCATAGTGAGTTGGAGGCCAGCCTGGGCTATGTGGAGGTCTGTCTCAAAAACAGAAGCAAACAGAAATGAATCCTCCCTCTACCATTTTACAGTCTTTCGAGTAAAATTTACCCTGGTAGGAGTGAATCTGAACGGGCCATCTTTTTTTCCTTAGTTTGTAGTCCAGGCTGGCCTCCAACTCCCTACCTTAAAGTCCCGATCCTCCTGCCTCCACCTTCACATTGCTGGGGGTGGGAGTAGAATTATGTGGCACCAGGCTTATCTTTAAAGGCCATCTTAATTCTGGAGTGCCAGTGTTCCTCCAAGGTCTGGATGGTACTGTAGCATTTTATCGCCTTCCTTGGGAAATCAGTCCAAATCAGACAGAAACATCAGTTTGGGTACATCAAAACCCTTTTGTCTTTTCATTCTGGTTTGCCTTTTGACAGGATATAATCACAGATCCATTCAAGCTTGCAGAGGAATCTGACAAGGCGAAGCCCAGACATGCACCTGATGGCGCTGGAGGCTGCTGCGGCAAAAAGAAAAGCTGCTAGATCGACGGCCAGCGTGGAGCTCAGTGCGCGCGCGAACAGGCGCCTAAAAAAACGGCTCACCCGGGCTTTTAAACCTCCTCTTCCCCAGTCCCCCAGTGCAGAGATGACGGGAAGGTGACAAAGGCACCTTAATCTAGATTACAGCAAAGAATAAGAATGAGCTTTAGAAGGTGTTAATCTAAGGGTCACAGCTAATCACCAGCCTTTCTATTTCGCTATTCCAGAGTTCCGGTGCCACCTAGTGGTCAGAAGTAGGACTTGGAAGCGCAAGGTTTAATTTACTCAAAGGGCCCCAGGCATCGACTTTGGAGGAGGGTGGTGGGAGAGTATCTTCCTTCTGGCCTACCACCGGACACCGCTGGACTTTTGTGTTCATTCAGGAAGTAGAGCCCCTACTAAATTTACACTATGTCAAAATATTGTCAAGTCAAATTTGTTAGGAGTCCTCTTCAGGTCCCTGTCTTCAAACCTTTGTTTTCCTGCTGTAATTCAATAAAGAATAAAACAAATGAATAATAAATTTGACCTCAGCTCACCCTGATGATTGACACCACACACACCGTCCTGGTCTGTCTTAACTGGTGTTTTTGTTTTTTTGTTTTTCAAAAGGAAAGCTAAGAGATATGAACAGGATTCCTCCCCTTCATAGGGCGATCTGATTAAACTTTCACCAAATGCTGGGTTTGCTTTCAGGTCCCTTTAAAGAAGTTATGAGCATTAAAGGAAGGATCAATGACAATAAGTTGAAGGGCCAGAGAAATCTCAGTTCTTATCATTAGGAGATGATAATTGAGATTTTAAACAGCCCTGGGGCTGGAGATGTAATCCATTTGGTAGAATACTTGCTGGGTATTCACAGAGCTCTCGGTTTGTTCTCCGGTCCCAGGTGTGGGATAGCACACACCTGAAGTCCCAGCACTCAGGAGGTAGAGGCCTGAGGATCAGAAGCTCTTCAGGTACAGAGAGAGTTTGAGGCCAACCTGGGATACTCAGTGTCAAAAACAAATAACAGCCTTCAACAATCGAGGGCTTTGATAAGAAAATCTTGGTTGTTCTGAGCTCCAGGCAAAAGGAGTTTGGGCAACAGGGAAAGAGATGGAGTTAGTATGACCCAGGAGATTTCAATTAGGAATTTGAGAATGTTTAGGCCCATAAAACACTGGGGTGAATTCTAAGGGCAGATTCATCTTTTAAAAGAGATCTCGATGGGCAGTGGTGGCGCACACCTTTAATCCCAACACTTGGGAGCAGAGGTAGGTGGATCTCTGTGAGTCCAGAGAAAGACTGGGAAGGTCTCAGAATTCTGAGTGGGTTCAGCTGTCATCCCTGACTTTGGCAGACAGTTTTTTCCCAGCCCTGTTTGTCTCGGTAACCTAGATTGGCTATAGAATTCCTCATATGCCCTGTTTTATCCTACTGCAGTGTGAGACTGGCGTGGTTGGGCACACTACATGATCTCTGAGTGTGAGATGGCCCTTCCAGAGGGACACAGTCAAGACAAAAGGTGACCTAGCCAGTCTGTTGATTAGACTCACCTTTCATTTCTTTACTTTTAAAAAGATTTATTCATTTACTATGTTTGCAGTGTTCTTCCTGCGTGCCAGAAAAGGGCACCCGATCTCATTAAAGATGGTTGTGAGCCACCATGTGGATGCTGGAAATTGAACTCAGGACCTCTCAAAGAGCAGCCTGCTCTTAATCTCTTAACTCGTAACCTCTGAGCCATCTCTCCAACCCTCGTTTCTTTATTTTTACATAAATTAACACATTTGTTACAGGCTAGGGATGGCTAAAAGGGTAGCTTCTTCTGGTCTTTTGGTTCCTCCCGCTCTCTGGTGGCCTTGACTGTGACAGCGGAAGTGGTGGTACCCAGAGGCGCCACTGTTCTCACGTGGGAACTACGTAGGGTGCCCACTGCCCATCTCTTCATCTTGGTCTTGCCACAGAAGGAGCCAGTGTACTTGGCATGCTGGCTGATCTCAGTTTTCTCCACCTGTTTCTGAGGGAGGCACCACAGTGATCTAGGAGTTCCTGAAGATCTCGGCTTTCTTGATGCACTTAACCCTGTCCCTGTGACCAGGGCCTGAGCTCAGAGAGTACCTAAGGAGAGGGAGAGATTAACCTTTCATGTGCCATTGCTAAGTACTTTTCAGGATTTATGTGTCTGTGTGAGTGTGTGCTGTGTGTGTCCAGAGGGCACTGGAGCACCTGAGCTGGAGCTATGGGAGGTTGTGAGCACCCTGGTGTGGGCGTCGGGAACCAAACTTGGCAAAAGTGGCAAATGCTCTCCGCTGCTGAGTCATCTCTCCAGCTCATCATTATGAATCCAAAAAGGAATCTGCTTATTTTTATTTATTTGTATGTGTATGTAATGTACTGGCATGCTTGTGGGGGAGGGGATCTTGACCTATTGCTCTCCGTGAAGACCAGGGTCTCTCACTGAACCTCAAGCTTGCTAGGCAGCTGGCCATCAGCAGCACCTGGGGCTATAGAAGCTTGGCAAGCTGTGCCCAGCTTCTGTGTGAGTGCCGGAGATCTGAACTCGGGTCTCCATGCTTGGGCAAGTGCTTAACTCACAGAGCCCCAGCCCCAGCCCCAGCCCCAGCCCACACCAAGAGGATCGTTAGAATCAGTGTGAGTCTAATGGGGGCATACGTGCTGGCTCCTATGAGCAACCAGATGTCTTCAACTACCTACTCCGGTTAGGGTCATGAAAAGGATTCTTTGTAGATCTTGGCCTAGGATCCAGTAGAGAGCTGTCACTGAGTTCTGTGTATGTGGAAGCCAGAGGTTTACCTTGGACACCATTCCTCAGGCACTGGCCTCCTTCATTTTTTGAGACAGGGTCTCTAATTGATCTGGAACTTGCCGAGTGAGCTAGTAAGCTCCTGGGGTCTGCCTCTTTCCACCTCATTGTGGGATTGCAAGTAAAGCCACCGTGTCCAGCTTTAATGTATATATTAAATATATCTAATATAACACACACACATGCATAGACAATTGATGTTCTTTATGTGGGTGCCAGAGATCTAATTCAGGCTTGTGTGGCATCCATTCCCCTCACCTAGTTCTCTCGCCAGCTCCCAGAATGAACTCGTTTGCAAATGTGAAGCTGGAATTAGACGATCCTAGCGATAACCCATGACATATCTTTAATTCATTACAAGCGGCGGCCAAGCAGGCTTGTGGAGAGTGCCAGGGAGGCTCACAGGAGGGAACCAGAGGGCCGCAGCTGCTCATGGTAATTTGACATATAGCTCAGAGCCTGACTGTGTCAGGTGAAGTGGCCTGGACAGTTTAGCCTCTGTCCCCAGAGTTAACCAGCTTCTCCCATAGAGCTTCCTTTGTGAATGTTAAATGAGCTTCTTTTAGAACGCAACACCTCAAATGTCAAGCGCCGGAGAGGGAAGGTTTGCACAGCAAGGGCAGGATGGCTGGTGTAGCTTCTGGGCTCTACACCTTTATCTTTTATTAACTGTCCTTGCTTTCTTTTTATCAATTAACCTTATTATCCCTTTCAACTGGCTCTACCTACGGAAGCACCGTGAAGGATATAGCTTAGATATCTTTCTTTTTTCTTTTAAATAATGTAGCAGAAGCCCACAGAGTTGGTACCACCCTTTAAAAGTCACACTTTCCCTTGGCAGGGAGGATGGACGGGGGGAGACGGGGACGACTCTTCGCTCTGCATGGATCCAGCCAAGCCACATAACCAGAGTGTGTCTTTACTGAGAACAGCTCCCTGATACTCCCTTCCCAGTGCTGCTCAAGTTTCATGGAAGCTGAGGCTGTACATACGGGAATTACCCCCATGGTGCAACTGTCCGCATAGAAACCCTGTCCGGGCAGGGGATGTAGCTCAGAGCATGCTGATATTATGCTCCTTTTACATATTTGGTTTTTTGAGATAGGGTTTCTCTGTGTAGCCCTGGCCATCCTTGAACTCATTCTGACACCAGGCTGGCTTCACACTCAGAGATCTGCCTGCTTCTGTCTCCCAAGTGCTGGGATGAAAGACATGTGCCACCACTGCCTGGTTTTAGAGTGCTTTTTCAACATTTGTACTTTTTTATTCATTATGTTTACACTGTTCGGCCTGCATGTATGCCCGCACACCAGAAGAGGGCACCAGATCTCACTACAGATGGTTGTGAGCTTAAGAAGTTCTGCAGTTTTTGCTACTAATGCTGAGTCAGGAAGCCTTCTGTTAAAGGAGCCGCACCTCTGCTTGCTGCCAACAAACAGCCTATCTGAAAAAAAGTGGCTACAAAGAAGCTGCTTTTGGCTCCTGTTTCTGTGGTTCTCGAAGCCCTGCTTTGTCTTGTTTTTATTAATTTTTATTGAGCTCTACATTTTTCTTTGCTCCCCTTTCTGCCTGTCCCCTCCCCTTCATTCCTCTCCCATAGTCCCCATGCTTTCAATTTACTCAGGAGATCTTGTCTTTTTCTACTTCCCATGTAGATTAGATCTATGTAAGTCTCTCTTAGGGTCTTCATTGTTGTCTAGGTTCTCTGGGATTGTGGTTTGTAGGCTTGTTTTCTTTGCTTTATGTTTAAAAACCACTTATGGGGGCTGGAGAGATGGCTCAGTGGTTAAGAGCATTGCCTGCTCTTCCAAAGGTCCTGAGTTCAATTCCCAGCAACCATATGGTGACTCATAACCATCTGTAAAGGCGCCCTCTTCTAGCCTTCAGGCATACAGACAGAATATTGTATACCTAATAAATAAATAAATATAAAAAATAAATAAAAACCACTTATGAGTGAATACATATGATAATTGTCTTTCTGTGTCTGGGTTACCTCACTCAAAATGATGTTTTTTAGCTCCATCCATTTGCCTGCAAATTTCAAGATGTCGTTAGTTTTTTCTGCTGTGTAGTACTCCATTGTGTAAATGTACCACATTTTCCTTATCCATTCTTCGGTCGAGGGGGCATTTAGGTTGTTTCCAGGTTCTGGCTATGACAAACAATGCTGCTATGAACATAGTTGAGCACATGTCCTTGTGTCATGAATTGAGCATCCTTTGGATATATACCCAAAAGTGTTATTTCTGGGTCTTAAGGAAGGTTGTTTCCTAATTTTCTGAGAAATCACCATACTTATATCCAAAGGGGCTGTACCAGCAATGCAGGAGTGTTCCCTTTTCCCCACAACCTCTCCAGCATAAGTTGTCATCAGTGTTTTTGATCTTGGCCATTCTTACAGGTATAAGATGGAATCACAGAGTTGTTTTGATTCACATTTCTCTGATGACTAAGGATGTTGAGCATTTCCTTACGTGTCTATCAGCCATTTTAGATTCCTCTGTTGAGAGATCTCTGTTTAGATATGTACTCCATTTTTTATTGGATTATTTGTTCTTTTGATGACCAATTTCTTTCTTTTCTTTCTTTTTCTTTTTCTTTTTTTGGTTTTTTGAGACAGGGTTTCTCTGTGGCTTTGGAGCCTGTCCTGGAACTAGCTCTTGTAGACCAGACCAGTCTCAAACTCACAGAGATCCACCTGCCTCTGCCTCCCGAG